GTGTGTGTGAGAGAGAGAGAGAGAGAGAACAGTTGAATGTACTGGGTCTCTCTCAAATCACCAGTTATCACCTTCTTTGTTCGTTCCTCACTCAACCATCACAGAGAGACACAGAATAAGGGATTGAATGTAAGTAAAATAGGCTCTGGATGTGGATAGTTTGTGTCACTCTGGGCAGGTGCTCATCGTGGGTCATCAAAGCAGGAGAATGTCCTCTGTTTGAGAAATGATAATGCACTTTTTAACCCATATTTGATACACAAAGTCCTCTAAATCATCATCAACATGATCAAAACTTTGCTGCTAAACATCACTCACAGTCTACTCTATGCCTTCTGGCGTCTAATTGATAGTTTAGACTTTTTAGAAAGGAACAGGTCTTTTAGTTTAATTGTACAAAAAAGTCCTTCTTCAGCTTGTGCTGCATGTGTCTTTTTGCCGTCAAATTTTTATCAAGTAAACGTAAGAATAACTTTTAGTAGTCTTTCGAGACGAACACGTACTGGACTCAAGAAACTATGGGTTGCTTGATGATTTTTTTAGAAAAATCATAAATATCAAATATGATCATCAGGAACGTTTACATTGTATTGCGTCGCGTTATATGTTTTGATCATCAGACTAAGCATTCAGATATCGTCTTACTGAGACACATTATTGGTGATATTGAGTGACGATCTATGTAAGTGTCTGTGATACTGTTGATTTCATTGATTTACATTTACAAGCATCGGAATTTCATCATAGAAATATCAGCATTTGCACCAAATTGCATATTTTTGCACAGTTTGGGCCTCTGAATAAAAAGGTGTTTTTCTTCCACATTTTCACTATATCAGATTCACTATATCAGCCTGATTTATCAAAATACGATAATCAACAAAAACACGTATGCAAACTTCTTTCTTTTAATTTAGATTTTTGTCTGACTTTTATTTGATATGTCAGGCTTTACAGGGTTAAAATGTGTTTGTGGCACCAGGTGGTAATTTCAGTAATTTAATATTTATCTTATGATAAATTGTATTTCATAATCCATCAGACACCCTGATCTCTAAATGGGCATCAAATCCAGAACCAAAGGCTGAACTGAGTTTGTGTTTATGTTTCTTCACTTGATTGTCATCCAAAATATTTTCACAAGTGTGAATTCTGTTTGAATTTGATTTTAATGACTGAATTAATCGAATCGAAAAGGTCAGGTCGGGTCACAGATGTGTCATGGCGATACTGTTTTCTGTTTTTTGTTTATACGGTTATTTTGCAAATAAAAAGTATTTTACTATTCTTTGGTTGACGCATTATAAGGCTAGAGTTACACTTTTTATAAAGCTATAATTTAGATCTTTTAATGCCAGAACGTTTTCATTCAACAGCAATTACATTTCACTTAACTTGTAAAATAATATTGCTAAATGAAATTATGCATTGCATTAAATTTGCTGTCGAATTAAATTAATTAATTAGTTCTGTTAAGTTAAAATTCCACTGCTGTTAAATAAAAATAGGACTGCCAATACATTTGCTGTCAAACAAAATGTAATAAGATTTAAAATGGTAAATTAAATTTAATTAAAGTAAATTTAAGTTAAATACAATTCCATTGCTGTTAAATGAAAACTTGACTGCTATTCAATGAATAAAAGTATATTTTTATTTCATATTAATTTAATGGCAGCAATTGCATGTCATTTAGCTTAGTTAGATTTAATTAAATTAAACTTAATTTAACAGTGTAAGTCTTATTAATTTTTTTTGAAGTCTTGGAATTAAATTTAATCATAATTGAACATAATTTAATTTAACATTGTATTTTACAGCTAATTTAATGAACATTTAATGCAGCATTCTACTCTCTCTCTCTGACCATCAGAATTAAACTTTTTTTTTGCATCTGTTCCTTTAAGCCTTCTTTATGTAACAGAATATGCATTGATATGTAAATGATGGCATTCATATGTTAACGAGCTGATGGATAATGAATGAGGCTTGAGTTTTTCTACATAGCACATCATTTTTCTTTCCAACGAGTGAAGAAAATCTTATTTCCCTCATTAATTGTTTGTTTTTTAAGAATTCGTATTTCTAACCCAGCAAGCCTAAGACGTGCTGCTCCTCGTTCAGCTCATGTAACCGCTGTGTTCGTCCCTCCACAGGTGGATATTGAGATCAATGGAGAGCCTGTGAGCCTGCATATGAAGCTGGGAGATAACGGAGAGGCGTTCTTCGTGGAGGAGAACGAGGATTTTGAGGTCTGTCTGGATGACTGTGAGTTCTCCAATCTCTCCTGTAATGTTCTGCTGTGGTTTTGACGATACTCTCTCTGTGTCTGTGTTAGACGCGGGTTCCCGCTCACCTCTGCACCTCTCCGATCCCCACGGACGTCCCAGAAGTGTCTGAGATGATGGAGTCCTCCTCCAGCCGCCGCAAAAAACGCCGCAGGAAGCGAGCGCGTTCAGACACGCATCTGCGAGAGGAGGCCAGTTCCTCTTCAGACGAGAAAGAAAGCCTAGATCAAGATGTCCTAAAGGAAGAGTCGCTTTTGGCCGCAAGGTTAGAGGTTTACTGAAGTTATTGTACATTTAATTTTCCAGAAATGTCTGAGATTGTCTGATCAGTTGGCTGCTTATTTCATGAAGCTCTAGCTCAAGAGGGCTGGTTGCACCAGCGGTGCATAAGTTATAAATGATGCACTACTACCAGTAATTATTTTTGCATTGCACCATTAAACCTAGTTGAAATATAACCCTGCACGCCTCCGACTAGGAGTAACAGTTGGATTAAAATAGCAGTCCGACAAACTTCAATCCGTTAGACAATCCTTTACACTCGTTTACATTTTAAGCAAGAGAATATTATGTGAATAAATTACTTTGTTAGCAACACTTCAACACAAAACCAAACTATGCACCACGTCTCTGTGTGCATGTCATATAAAATCAAACTTAATAAATAAATGTAATTTCTAATAATTGTTTGGTATCAGTATTTTATTGATCCTTAATAATTTCAAATACAGTTTTTGAATGTTATTCACATATAAAAATACCTATAATGTACTGTGTATCAGTGGAAACATATTTTTACCATTAGTTGCATGAGGCAAAATAAGTTAGAATCAAGGAAAAACTTCAATTCGCTACATTTCAAAACAACTTCTACTCATTTATTTGAAAGCTTTGCTACCATATTTGTACAGTACAGTTCTGGTAACCACGGCTGCATGCTTTTTTGAAAAATACATTGTTTTACAGTGTACAGAGTTGGTTACAAACTACCTAGTAGTTACTACACCTCTAGTGTGGACGTACGTTCCACTTTAAAGGGATAGTTCACAAAAAACGAAAATTCTGTCATAATTTACTCACCCTCATGTTGTTCCAAACCTGTATGAGTTTCTGTCATTTTGTTCCTCTTTCTCAGAACTAACCAAACTTAAACACCAGACTGCTGGTAGAGCATCTTGTTAGCAGGAAATAGTTATCAGGACGTGCAAGCGTTTTCATAAATGCGTCAAAAACACAGCTAGCACATTTTGTCAGAATGAAAATGACTAACACAATTAAAAATAAAAATAAAAACATTTTGTTAGACAGTGATGACTGTCATGTTTTTTTATTTATTTAACTGCAATGGCACTTCATTTATTGAATTCAATTTAACTTTAATTTAATTATTTTACAGCAATGGCTGTCACTTTCATTTAACAGCTGTGGAATTTTAACGTGATTAAACTTAATTTCAGTTAATTAATTTTCATTTTACAGCAAATATAATGGTAGTCACGTTTTCATTCAACAGCAATTACATTTCACTTAACTTGTAAAATAATATTGCTAAATGAAATTATGCATTGCATTAAATTTGCTGTCGAATTAAATTAATTAATTAGTTCTGTTAAGTTAAAATTCCACTGCTGTTAAATAAAAATAGGACTGCCAATAGTCATTTGCTGAACACAAAGGAAGATATTTTGAAGAATGTGGGTAAGCAAGCAGTTGACGGTAGCCATTGACTTCAATAGTATGGAAAAAAATACTATGGTTAATGGCTACCGTCAACTGTTTGCTTACCCACATTCTTCAAAATATCTTCTTTTGTGTTCAACACAAAAGGTGAGGGTGAGTAAATTATGATAAAATTGGGTGAACTATCCCTTTATATTGTGAACTTATGAACGGCTGGTGAAACCTGGCCCAGGTCACTGATGATTTGTGTTTTTGCTCTCTTCAGTAAGTCTGTGTACTACTCGCTGACAGAGGAACCCTACGAGGAACCGTCTGGAGCTCAGAGCAGAGACGTTCATCCTCACTCTGAGGGAGAGTGTTCTGTTAATGAGAGGTAGTTATAGATCCTTAAACGTCTATGAATGATGTAGTTCGGCCCATATGTTATCTCTCAGTTCATATCATGGATATCTAAAGGCAAAGCTCTGCTTACTTGTGTTGTCTCTGTCTGTAGTGTGTTCTTCAGTCGTCCCTCCTCTCCTAAGAGTGATTCAGAGTTGTGTAAGCCGCAGGAGTCTCTAGGGCCCCAGATGCAATGGAACTGGGGCGCTTTTCCCAAAGTAAATGCATACTGCATGCATACAGCTTTCATCGCAGATAGAGTCCAGCATGTTCCCAAACCAAGTGTGCTGCCTACCCAGGCAGTATTTTTAGACATCATATGTCCACTCTGAACAAGGCTGTTATAAAAGTAGATTACTACATTTTCTGAAGAATGCTTGAGTCACGATTGCATGTGCAAAACTCACTGTCTGACGTGAAAAAGTCCACCTTCAAGTAGGGCTGGGCGATATAGCTCTGATATAGCTTATTAGCAATATAACATTGCTAATAATCAGAAATGTTTCTTGAGCAGCGAATTAGAATGATTTCTGAAGAATCATGTGACACTGAAGACTGGAGTAATGATGCTGAAAATTCAGCTTTGCATCTCGTGAATAAATTCAATTTTACAAAATATTTGCAATAGAAAACGTATTTTAAATTGTAATAATATTTCACAATATTACTGTTTTCCTTGGTGAAATAAATGCAGGTTTGGTGAGCAGAAGAGAATTCTTTCAAAATCATTCAAAACAATATTTTGAACAGTAGTTTAATTTCATTAGGATGCTGCCTTATAAGGGCACAAAACAGTTTACTCAGTGGCTCTTGTGTTTGTGTAGGTGTGTCAGGCGGAGAGAGATGGATCTGATTCGCTGCGAGACCCGCCCATCACGCCCTCTGACCACTCCCACTTCCGCACGATCCATCGACAAGCATCCATTGATGTGGACAGCACTGACTCTGCAGCGACGGTGACCGTAGTGAGACCTGAACCTCAGATTGGAACGACCAGCCCTGTTCCATTAGATGACACTCACGCAGTTGTTTCTTCTTCAGTTAACACACAACTAGACATCAAGGTCACCGAAACGCATGTAGTGACCTTTCAGTCCGCAGACGACTCCTTCCCACAGGCCTGGACTGCACTGGAAAACAAAGAGACTAAAGACTTAACCGTCAGCACAGACAATCACACTCAGACCTATAACATAACCAGCTCTACTAACACAATGCACGGGACCGGTGCTGTCAGCAGCGCAGCTAGTTCAGACGCCGTGGCTCATGTAGGACGCCAAGAAACCTGTGATGAGAATAATGTCTCGGTCACATCCGAAATCCAAACCGTCACATTCGGTGAGACTGAATCAAATACGGTTTTAGAAGCAGAAACAGAGGTCAACTCAGCGGACACAATCACTGTTTTACCAAAACACCAAAGCTCTGTGGGAGACTCAGAGGAGGGGGCGGGATTAGAGACGTCACTGACCAATCAGAATGCAGATGGTGCTGGAGTGACACCAGCTCTGGAGTCCGTCCTCAAATCAGAGGATTCGAAGCCTCTTGAGTCCTCGAAAACAGCAGACTCTCAGGACAAGAGGACAGGTATGTACTTATTCCAGTGCGACTAATTCAGTGATTGAAAATGATTTGAAGCGTTTTACCTGAACTGTGCGTGCTGTTTTTTCTAGTCAAGCGCAGTCATCATTTGGGACCATCTGATATCTATCTAGACGACCTCTCCAGGCTTGACCCTGAAGCTGCTGCCCTCTATTTTCCAAAGAGGTTAGAAGCTTTATTATCCAACATGCTGAACCGATTTATTATAAATAAATTAAACCAAAATATTTTTTTCTGCTTTTTGACACAATAAATAAATGGCTGTAGCACTACAGCAATGAAAATATAATATTCATTGAGTATTATTATTATTAATAATAATAGCAAGAATAAAATAAAGCTATTTTAATTGTTTTATCTATGATTTTTGATGCAATAAATAAATGATTGTAGGACTATAATAAAATCTATTAAATAAATCATTTATTATTATTGCTGTTTTTATGTGTCATATATATTTATGCAAAGTTGTTTTGTGATCTTTATAATCACAAATATTTTTTCATCTTTGTTTTTGCGTTATGATTGTTAATCTGTATATTTCTCACTTGAGAATGAATGGCTGTAATTATCCAAACAATACATTAAATAAGTTTCTTCACCAACGACAGTACTCACAGGTATTGGGGGTTCAAAGTTAGAAGTTTACCAATCATTTACATTTAGTCATTTAGCAGATGCTTTTATCCAAAGCGACTTACAAATGAGGACAATGCAAGCAATCAAAACCAACAAAAGAGTAATGATATGCAAGTGCTATAACAAGTCTCAGTTAGCTTAATGCAGTACATGTAGCAAGGTTTTTTTTGTTAATAGTATAATAAATACAAATAAAACAAATAGATAGAATGCAAAACGAATAGAGAAGCTAGTGTTGTATTGCTGTATTGATCAGTTGTGGACAGATCCATGTCTGTGATGGTTCTGCGGTAGTGGCTGATGACGGTACTATTATTTTAAATATAGAAAAGCGTAATATAAGGAATGAGTAGGAATGTCCAGACGTTTGACCGGTAGTTTGATTCCTGTCCCTCTTTAAATCCCTCCCTCCATGTTTTCAGTGAGACAGAGTCGCCGGATCCGTCTCCTCCCTCGGGTCAGCTGTCGTCTCAGTCACTGGGCAGCGCTAATGCAGACAGCGGCACCGAGTATCTGTCCGACTCTACCACAGACACGCTAGACGTGACCATGTCTCTGTGTGGGAGAGGAGACATCAGTCAGATCAGTAAAGGTAAACACTGTGTCCTAACCAATCGATCTCAGCCATGTTCAGTCACGAGTCACCACATCAACAGTTTTGTTGTTTTTATTAGTTTCTGCTTTTGTCTCCTTGTGCTGTGTAGCTCCACCCACAGTGAAATCGTATTGGTCTACACTCCGTCTGTGACCCTGGATCACAAAACCAGTCATAATAAAGCAAGAAGCCCCAGCTAAGGGGGTTTTAGGCACTCCGCTTCGCTTTGCCTAACAACGCCCCTTAGCTGTTATAAATTCACTGTAAACTACGGCTTCACGGGGCTTACTGCTTTTATAAAACGGTTATTCCATATACGTAGTTAGGTTTCACAAAATAAAACACAGCAACTAAAGTGTAATGGGTAGTTTATCTCAGGGGAAAAAAAGGGCCTCTATCACTAGCCTCTACTTGTTTTCTTTTTGTTTTTTATATATATATATACCTTGCTACGTGTACTGCGTTAGGCTAACTGAGACTTGTCATAGCACTTGCATATTATTGCTCATTTGTTTATTTTGATTGCTTCTGTTGTCATGATTTATAAGTTGCTTTGGATAAAAGCATCTGCTAAATGACTAAATGTAAGTCGCTGGGGTATATTTGTAGCAATAGCCAACAATACATTGTATGGGTCAAAATTACTGATTTTTTTCTTTTATGCCAAAAATCATTAGGATATTAAGTAAAGATCATGTTCTATGAAGATTTTCTGTAAATTGCCTACCGTAAATATATCAAAACTTAATTTTTGATTAGTAATATGCATTGCTAAGAACTTCATTTGAACAACTTTAAAGATGATTTTCTCAACATTTAGATTTTTTTGCTCCCTCAGATTCCAGATTTTCAAATAGTTGTATCTCAGCCAAATATTGTCCTATCCTAACAAACCATACATCAATGGAAAGATAATTTATTAATTTATTCAGTTTCAAATAATCGACCCTTATGACTGGTTTTGTGGCCCAGGGTCACATATATTGAACATCAAATATATTATGATTGGCTGTGATTTTGTTGTTTCATGCAGCGTTTTATTTTCAGTGAGGACAGAAAAATGATTTAAGCTGATATCTTTAGCTCTTCCTGTATTTTTTACGCTTTTTTTTTTTTTTTTACGCTTGTGTTGCAGAGAAGTTCATGGAGCATCTTGTGAAGTATCAAGACTTTGTCAACAACCCTGGAATTATTGAAGACCCAAACCTTGTCATCTGCATCAACTCAAAGTTAGCATGTGTTATATTCATTTATTAAAATTGTTGGTAACAGCAATCTGTAGTACAACAATGTTCAATAGTAATTATTATTTAGTATAATAGTAATTACATTAAACAGTTCTTAGTAGGGCTGTCAGTTAATTAATTACATGTGTCGATTAATTAATCGCAAATTAAATTTGGCTGTGAAAATACCCCCAAATGATTATTTAATGCTATTTTTGTGTTAAGGTATTAAGTAGACATTACAAATAGTAACTTTAGACAGAAATATTTTATTTGATTCAACATAAAATGTATTACTCAAACGTTTAGGCTACAACGGCCCAACATAAATTATGGAACACAAATGAAGATAATTTGAGAAAAATCTCATTTATTTTTTTTTTGCATTTATTGATTTATGGATTTTTTTTGTCGACAGTATGAAATGTAAGATGAAGTACAGGTCTGGGGGCGGAGCCATTGTGTTAACTGAGTTAAAATATTTTAATCGTGTTATTTTTTCATAACTAATTAAGTTAACGCGTTAAACTGACAGCCCTAGTTCTTGGTAAAATAGTTAGTCTAACTGGAGGTTGGTTAGTTGCCGACAAACTTGAAACCGAGGTGCAGTTACTGGTGCGAGTATATCGACTTCAGATGTGGCTCATCCAATCAGATTTTAGAGCCAGAGCGGTTTACCAGTTTTGCACTATGGTAATATTAGGATATGGCTCTTGTTTAGCTTTGTGGTCGTTTTGTTTCAGATATTATAACTGGGCTGTGGCAGCGCCGATGATTCTGTCAGTTCAGGCTTTCCAGAAGACTTTACCAAAGGTAGATGGGGTCAGAGATCTTTGATTACTGCTTCAATGACTAATCGTTCAGAGATAATGACTTGTTTTTTCTGTTGTAGAGCACCATTGAGCAACTGGTCAAAGATAAGATGCCTAAAAAGTCTGGCCGCTGGTGGTTCTCCTGGAGGAGGAAAGATCTGAACAATGTTGCGGTAAAAACTCAATCTGAAACGGAATCTAACCGTACAGAAATAATGTTTAAGTCATTTAAGGAGCAACTCTATTGTGCAATTTCCCTTTAAGAGAGTGATAAGTACACTGTCTGCCGACTGCACCTGTGTATCTCTAATGCTTCATTGCACATACATTTTTTTTCTTATGTTAGGGAAGCCAAAAGTCAGACGCAGAGGGGAATCAGCTTGAAGCATCTTCCGCTATCGCTGGACACTCTTCACTGAAGTAAGACGTGTGTTTGCATGCATGCAAAACATGAGGCACTCAGTGTTTTTTCCTAATTATAAAGTTTGACAGAAATAATTCAGAAGGGTGACAAATCTAACTCGCATGCACGCTAGTTTGCAGCAGCACAAATCACCAACAGTGCACAAAAATGTGTTGGAAATGTCTTGTTTATGTGTCATGATATGAGACAATAAAGGATGCAAAGGAAAAATCAAAAGCAGCATAAGTTTATAACCAAACATCATGCATCCACGCCAACAGGTGTCAGTATAAAGTACAAATCTACAGGACAAATAAGAGCAAACGAAACAAAAGTAGCACTTCAAATTGAATGCATGTGTGCACCACATCTTAAATCTCATGCAACCTGTCAGGAACTTTTTATAACATTGCATAAATTTGTAAGCTTGTTATGAAAGCAGCATGTACATATGGGCTTCCTCTCCTTATCAGAGAGCACTTGACCTTTGACTTCAGTTAAACATGATGAAAGTCAGTATTATCAAGACTATTGGCTGACTGTGCATTGCTTATTTTATCTTTGACCCAGTAAATCAATGAATTTCTGTTTGTGTTTTGTGTATGCAGGAGTTCTGTTGAACCCTCGAGTGATGAGGATGGCTCTGTCTCCATGAGGAAGAACAATGAAGCAATGAGCACAGCGCAGTGCATCAGTCAGATGTACCGCAAATCCCTCCGGCTGACCTCTGAGCAGATCGTATGGGTCAAAATTACTGATTTTTCATTTATGCCAAAAATCATTAGGCTATTAAGTAAAGATCGTGTTCCATGAAGATATTTAGTAAATTTCCTACTGTAAATATATTAAAACTTAATTTTTGATTATTAATATGCGTTGCTAAGAACTAAGAAGGTCACATATCATCAACAACATCATGATCTGTGTGTGTCATAGAGTTTAGTCACGAGCAAGTGGAAGACCTTCTAAATAAATATTATTTTAATATTATATTTATTTATTTTGAGGTAAAATTTAACTAGACACGTTGTCGACTGTTTTTTTTTTTTTCACGTCTAGTTCAATTTTACCTCAAAATAAATAAGAAATAATATTTATTTATTTAATGAAATAATATTGTTTTATTAATATTACTTCTTTTAAAATAATTTATTTTTATTAATATTTTAATATTATTCTTTTTTTTTTTTAAGTCACAATTAAATTTTTTTCATCCACAAACAGCTTGTTTCCACCATGGAATAAAAGGTCATTGCAATTTTTTTATCTCACAATTCAGACTTTGTGCACGTTCTTATCTCACATTTCTGATTTTTTTCTCAGATTTGTGAAATTTAAAAACCTTTTGTGCGATAAAACCTTTTTTTATTTTTATTCCGTGATGGATACTGCTTCCATAGTGTTTACAAAAATTATAATTTAGGTTGAAAATATAATTTAATGTGAATGTCATTAAAATGTCACAATGCAAATAAAATAAAAAAATTGATAAATAAATAATTAACCACAAAATTGAAAGAAATAATATTTTGCATTTAGATAATGAAGCTTGCTATTATTAATGAAGATTAATATGAATTTCCATTACTGTATTACAGTAGTGAGAATCTTTTGCATTACTCAATGCTCTCAAATGTAGGCTGCATTATTGAAATACTACCTGGACATTTCTTACTGAAGAGTTACTGTTCAATGTGCAATGGCTTGAATGAATTTCTGATATTTTCTATGTGTGTGTGTGTGTGTGTGTGTGGCAGGAGAGTCTGAATCTGCGTGAAGGAGCTAATACGGTTGTGTTCAGTGTGACCACACAGTATCAGGGCACCTGCCGCTGTGAAGCCGCCATTTATCTGTGGAGCTACGACGACAAACTCATCATCTCAGACATCGATGGGACCATCACCAAGTGAGTCTCTCTGAATCATTGCAGGATTTAGGTTACTATCTGTGAGTTGTTCACCTTTCTCTCTGTATCAGGTCAGATGCTCTGGGGCACATTTTACCGCAGCTGGGGAAAGACTGGACTCATCACGGCATCGCCAAACTATATCACAAGATACATCAGTAAGAAACACACGCTTTCATTCACAACTTTCTGATTTAATGAAACACTTGTTGTTCACTATAAATATGTGCAATTTTTTTATATTTAGTTTTGACAGATACAGAAACAGTTTTAAGCAGCAGCAGCAAAAGCAGTGTTAAGTCGCTGGGGTATATTTGTAGCAAAAGTAAAAAAATACATTGTATGGGTCAAAATTAGTGATTTTTCTTTTATGACAAAAATCATTAGGACATTAAGTAAAGATCATTTTCCATGAAGATATTTTGTATTTGTAAATATATTAAAACTTAATGTTTGATTAGTAATATGCATTGCTAAGAACTTCATTTGGACAACTTTAAAGATGATTTTCTCAATATTTAGATTTTTTTGCACCCTCAGATTCCAGATTTTCAAATAGTTGTATCTCAGCCAAATATTGTCCTATCCTAACAAACCATACAGCAATGGAAAGCTTATGTGTGTGTTTCAGTTACTCTCATCTCAGTGAGCTGGTGGATCACATCTTCCCCTTCATCTGTAAAGATCATGCCTCCTCCTTCGACTGTCCCGAGTTCAGTCATTTCTCCTTCTGGAGAGAGCCGCTGCCTCCGCTGGACCTCGCTGACCTGATCTAGACACAGATACGCTCCTTCCACTGCTTCAACTCCACACCAGGCATCTGTTCAGTTATACCTCTTCCTCAGCATTTCTTCTCATTTTCCTGTACTGTTTATATGAGCTGAATGTGTCTGTGCATTTACAGCCAAACCTGCTGTAGCTTCAAAACTGGAGAGAAGCACGCATGCAAACACATGACACACGCTGGGTGGAGAATGTGCAATGATGATAGCACAACACTACACTGAGCATCTCTTTCTGCATCAGAAATGCTCAGAGAAGCTCTTCTGACCCACGGATAGAAACAAACACATTAAACCGAGTGCCTTCGTGCAAACCTGTGCACTGTGACTATAGTACTGGTCTGGGGTTTTCATGAATGTGTTCATTTTAACTTCTCTGCCAAATAATGGCCTCTGACCGTCTCTAGGGGGTTTTCTATTATTATTAGTGTTCTTTTTAAATACTTTTTTACAATTGCTGGTGCAAAAGTGCGAGTTTGTTTTATCAGCAAATACTTTATACAGCTGAACTGTATTTTATTTATTTGGAACATTCACATTGAGCTAAAACAAAGACAGTCTATATATATATTTGGCTTCTATTTGTTGTATTTAAAAGAAGATTGAAACAATAAAAATTTCACTTTAAATTTCACCTGATTGGACTTTCAGACATCTAGTTAGTGGTGTTTCCCAAAGTAAGCATCACTTGCTCGTTTATTAAATGTGACCCTGGAGCACAAAAACCAGTCATAAGGCTCAATTTTTCGAAATTGAGATTTATGCATCATCTGAAAGCTGAATAAATATCTTTCCATTGCTGTATGGTTTGTTAGGATAGGACAATATTTGGCTGAGATACAACTATTTGAAAATCTGGAATCTGAGGGTGCAAAAAAAATCGAAATATTGAGAAAATCATCTTTAAAGTTGTTCAAGTGAAGTTCTTAGCAATGCATATTACTAATCAAAAATTAACTTTTGATATTTTTACGGTAGGAGACTGACAAAATATCTTCATGGAACATGATCTTTACTTAATATCCTAATGATTTTTGGCATAGAAGAGAAATGTATAATTGTGACCCATACAATGTATTGTTGGCTATTGCTACAAATATACCCCAGCGACTTAACACTGCTTTTGTGCTGCAGGGTCACAAATCCTAAAGTGCCGTACAAAGCAAGCATGATTAGAAAATAGTGTATCATGAAGACTATTTTATCCTGCTGTCTTCAAGAAGTATGATCTGTGACAGATCCTATCTAAGGAAGGATACGCTGAGCTCTGATGAAAACTTGCTGGTTAGTTGTATACTGCTCTCTGTACAGTACAGGCCGTTCTGGTGTCAACCAAACACGCTGCTCAAATAATAATTATATTGAATAATATATGCTCATATTAGTGTTATTTCTAGTTAGGCACACATCTGACATTTTGAACAAAATGTCATTTAAAGATATTGTAAAATACATGTTATAAATGTATTGTTATATAAAATGTAGATTTTTTTTTTAAAGAGTCGTCATAAAACAACAATAACAACCTCCATTAAAGATCGAAGTTCCCACGTAGCAATTAAAAGTATTATTTTTTATGTTGACAATAATTGCCGAAAATGTTACAAATATTTTGCTTGTATATTATTGTCAGTAATTAACAAAGGTCCCTTTTTTTTAGTTTCTCTTTGCCACCTTGAATATTTCTCAGTCCCTTAAAGTGTATACGGCCGGGAAGCAAGAAAACACACATCAAATTGTATTCTCAATACTTCAACTTTATTCATAGATACACAGATATTATATAGGCATATGTCGAGGGGAGTTTCAACCCTTTAACCAATGAGGATATAGATGACATACAAATATTTATTTTTTTATTATTGCCCATACAACAGTCTAATAAAAAAAAAATTGTCTTATGTAAGCAGTATATTTTTCTAAACTTTTTTGGGCAGTTTACATCTTTAAAAATATGTTTTGTTAAATGGGAGCATTTAATAAACTATTAATAGAGGTTGTTGTCGTTTTATTATAATTTTTATTTTATTTAATTTTATATATACTGTATGTATGTATATGTATGCATGTATATATATATATATATATATATAGTTTTTTTTTCAGTTTGTTATAAGTATCAATACCAATTGTATTAATTTTATAATATATAAAATGAATAATTGTACTAATTGTATGAGTACCAAAGTACCAATTGGCTGTTTGTTCATCGTGCGTGATCACGTACATCATCTTCATCTTCATCATCTTCATCTTCATCACACTGGTTTGTGTGTGAGTGAACAGATGGAGCTGCTGCTGCTGTGAAGCTCCATCAGGAAGCAGCAGAGTGTTCAATAAAGGTGTGTGCGGCTGTAAATGCACACTTACTGTCTGCTAGATGAACAATAACTCTTGCTTTACACGTAGCGAACATCCAGCCTCGACATTAGCAGCACTGAGTGTCATCAGGAGGAAAAGTGCAGGTAAGTGCATTGCACAAATCTTAAACGCACAGTTTATGAAACACTGTGATGTTAACTGAACCCATAAACAATACAGTAATGCGGTAATAGACGAGTGATGCACCGATCATCACTGAAGGCGTTAACGAGTCTGATCGGTGATCATGCGAATATAATCTTGTGTTGCAGTTATGACTGTAAACACAGTTCTGCGTCGAGTTGCAAACACATCCAGGCTTTTATGTTGGAAAATGGCTGCACATAAACAGCTGGAAGCGCCACGCACGTCTTTCTGGAAGGGTTTCTACTGTTGTTCTGCACGCGATTAACAGCAGGGCCAGATTTATGGCGTGAAAGTGAGTGGTGTGGCTTAGCGGTTCACTGGGCAGCCAGCTGCTAGAGGAAGGTGTCAAAGTCGAGCCTCGTTTACACTGACAGGCTTCACGGCTGCAGCACGCGCTGCTCGCCGCTAGATGGCGTCCTGTCGAGTTCTGACAGTCTGATCACAAAAGCAGTCATAAGGGTCCATTTTTCGAAATTGAGACTTATATATAATCTGAAAGCTGAATAAATAAGCGTTCCATTGATGTGTGGTTTGTTAGGATAGGACAATATTTGGCTGAGATACAACTATTTGAAAATCTGGAATCAATAATTTAAACGTTTTTGTCTAATAATTATCTCAGAATTTCAACTGTTTATTTCATAATTTAGAATTTATCTCATAACTATTAGGCCTACTTAGAATCTCAAAATGTGTCATATTTATTATGATTGATGATTTATGATTTAGAATTATGATTTTAATCTCATTTTGACTTTCTGTCTCATAATAATGTCTTAGCATTAGACATTTAGTGAAGACTTTAGTCTTTTTATCCCAAAATTTCAACTTTTTATCTTATAATTATGACTATCTCTTAATTTTGTGGTGTCACAATTACGACTTTTTATCTCATAATTACAATTTAGCAGCATCTCACAATTTTGAGAATTTTTTTGTCATAATTATGACATTTTCAAAATTATGATGTACCAAACAATTATGCTTGGGTAAATCATTGTTGTGAGATAAAATGTTATGATATAAATGATGACATAAAAAGTCAAAATTGTTGGGGAAAACTCTAGAACAATTATGACAAAAAAGTTTTTGACCTTCTATATCATAATTATGACTTATTTAAACTTTTTATCTAATAAATGTGACTTTTTATCTCAGAATTTCTCATTTTATGTCATAATTTTAACGTTTATGCCACAATTTCGATTAATAATATCATAATTATGACTCTTTATCTCATAATGTTGACTTTGTCGTAATTTTGGCTACTTTTTGTGATAAATCTCAAAAATGTCAACTTTTTAATCTCATTATTGTGACTTTTGATGCCATAATTGTAATTCTCCATGTTTTTCCGCCTGTGAGGAGGAAATGGGCTTCTAGGGAATCCTGTTTTTCCACATTTCTCTCCAAACTGGGAGGCATTTTGTCAGTTTGCATTAAAGCCAGAGGTGCATTGATGTAACTGTGCTTTTCTCTGTCTGTGCTGCACAGTTACCAAAGACTGTCATGATGGCACACGGGTCTCCTGAGGGCTGTTTGGAGTCAGAGCTCACCTGTCCCATCTGTCTCCATCTCCTCCTCGACCCGGTCACTCTTCCCTGTGCTCACAGTTTCTGCCTGGTTTGTCTGGAGACACCAGAGAGGGACAAAACTTCTGGATTTGATCAAGCACTTTGCTGCCCAGTTTGTGGACAGGAACATCTCAGCCCAGAGTCCCTGCCGAGAAACATCAAACTGAAACAGATAGTAGAGAACTACAAAGCCAGCAGCATCAGCGGTGAACTTCAGTCCAGTGCAGAAGACAAGCTAATCATTGACCGGCCATCTCCAGAAGACGCTGATGTGTGCAAATCAACAGATTCTGGGAAAAGCTCTCTGGTGGACGCTGAAACCAATGAACGGAGGTCTAGACTGAATCCCGTCATAACTAGTCTTCAAGAAAAGCTGGCTCTAGTAGATGATCTGGCGAGTAAGGAAAAGGCCAGAGAGGCTGCGGTTAAAGCAGCACACGCGGATCTGAGGAAAGATGTGAGCAGCGTATTGGAGGAGATCGCAGAGCTGGTGAAGACCTACAGCACGACTGCTTTGAAGCTTCTGGAGGCCGAGTTGAGACCCAGAGAAGATGCTGTTGGGAAAAGAGTGCGAATGCTGTCAGACCTCCAGAAGCAGCTGAGAACGGCCGAACTTCAAGTCAACACGTTAATGGACGAGGCGGATGACGCGTGTCTTAGTGACGTGGAGAACCAGGTCTCCAGCTTGACCCTGGAGCCTTTGCAGGACTCCTCCAGCGATCTGGAGTTATCCAGCAGTTTGAAGAAAGTCTGTGAGAAGATCGAGCACCAAAATACCCAACTCCGTCTCGGACTCGGATCCGCTCTCACATATGTGTCCTTATTGCTATTATATGGTATGTGCATGTCTAGTTGCTGTAAATTTGCAAGTAGTTTTTTTTCAGTTTAACTAAGTGACAGGTCAAGGATTTGTGATTTCATGTTATTATTTATTTGTATGTATTTATTCATGTAGTTTTATTTTGCATTTCCGTGTGCTGAAACTGACTGCAGTTTGAACGCCTGAATGCATGTAGTTTTTGAGCTCATATGCTGAAGAGTATTCCTCAGATACAGACGATCTTGTGTTGGATCTAACAGTAGACGCTTGTGTGAGGCGCGTGAAATGTGATTTGAGTGCTGGAGGATTTTTACAACATGAGCTTTCAGTTCTGCTTTCGTTTCTGTGCTTGTAGTGACTCTATCAAACGGGACTGTCCTCTGTAATTTTATTAAAAATCACATCTGGTTCTCCTGGGACAGTTGGGTTTTGTGTTCCTTTGAGGACGTTTGCGTTGGTGAACGGCTCTGAGCTCAGAATATCTTCAGAGACCGCAGATGTTTGGTGCTTTTCATGACGACTTCCTCTCCTCGTCTTTAAAATCATAAATCAGCAAATTATGTAGAAAGAAAAACCGTAGGTCTATTGTTTTGGGTTATCTGTTGTATGCTGTAAGTAAACTTCTGAGAATAACATGTTCAAACTTCACCAGAAATGAACAGTATTCCTTATGAAACTTTGACAAAATAATATTCTCATCATTACAGTAATTTTTTGTATTAAATTACCATTCAAGAGTTTAGTGTCAGTGAGACGTTTTGAAATAAGCCTCTTCTGATCACAAAGGCTGCATTTATTTGATCAAAAAAAAGTAAAAACATTAATATTGTGAAATATTGTTTTCTATGTGAATATCTGTTCAAATGTAATTGATTGCTGTGATCAAAGCTGGATTTTCAGCATCATTCCTCCAGTCTTCAGCGTCACATTTAAATTTTTTGCTCCATTATAAATGTCTTTACATTTTTTTCAATGTATAGTGACCTTGCTGAATAAAAATTACATTTTTAATTTCTTAAAAAAAAAAAAAAAAGGTTACTGACCCCAAACTTTTGATTGATAATGTATGTTATCTCACAACAGGTTAATATACAGAATTAGATATTAAACCAGTCGCAAACATTATATAATCAAATAATTCCCTCAACTAAAAAAATGTACCCTTATGACTGGTTTTGTGGTCTAGGGTCACATTTATATATTTTCATTTTTATGAAGAAAACTTGTTGAAGAGGAAAATTAACCTCAAACCTAATTTTTTTTTGCAATTTTATTTTTTAATTTCAGTTTTAAGACTCCAGCTTAAACTGTTTGTTTTGGTTCCCAGGAGGTGTTTGTGTGGATAAGTAGGTGCTTTCCATCACAGCATGAAAAGTTGAAATTCCAGTTTTAGACAGCGTCTGTTTGTATGTGTGTGTCTGTGTGTGTGAGAGAGTGTGTGTGTGTGTCTGTGTGAGCGAGAGAGAGAGAGAGAGAGAGAGAGAGAGTGTGTGTGTCTGTGTGAGCGAGAGAGAGAGAGAGAGAGAGAGAGAGAGAGAGAGAGAGAGAGAGAGAGAGAGAGAGAGAGAGAGAGAGAGAGAGAGAGAGAGAGAGAGAGAGAGAGAGAGAGAGAGAGAGAGAGAGAGAGAGAGAGAGAGAGAGAGAGAGAGAGAGAGAGAGAGAGAGAGAGAGAGAGAGAGTGTGTGTGTGTGTGTGAGAGAGAGAGAGAGAGAGAGAGAGTTTGTGTGTGTGTCTGTGTGTGTGTGAGAGAGTGTGTGTGTCTGTGTGTGTGTGAGAGAGAGTGTGTGTGTGTGTGTGTGTGTGTGTGAGAGAGTGAGAGAGTGAGA